CCACCATCATCCCTACCACCACCTCCATCATCATCCCTACCACCACCACCATCATCCCTACCACCATCTCCATCATCCCTACCACCATCATCCCTACCACCACCATCATCCCTACCACTATCATCATCATCCCTACCACCACCACCACCATCATCACTACCACCACCACCATCATCCCTACCACCACCACCATCATCATCATCATCACCAGCACCATCATCCCTACCACCACCACCACCATCATCCCTACCACCACCATCCCTACTACCCCCACCACCATCATCCCTACCATCATCATCCCTACTACCACTACCACCATCATCCCTACTACCACCATCATCATACCTACCACCACCACCATCATCCCTACTACCACCACAACTACCACCATCATCATCCCTACTACCACCATCATACTACCACCACCACCACCATCCCTACTACCACCACCACCATCATCCCTACCATCACCACCATCATCCCTACCACCACCATCATCATCCCTACCACCACCACCATCATCCTTACCACCACCATCATCCCCATCATCCCTACCACGACCATCATCATAACCACCATCATCATCCCTACCACCACCACCATCATCAACCCTACCACCACCACCATCATCCTTACCACCACCATCATCCCCACCACCACCATCATCCCTACCACCAGCACCATCCCTACCACCAGCACCATCCCTACCACCACCACCATCATCCCTACCACCACCATCATCATCCCTACCACCACCATCATCATCCCTACCACCACCACCACCATCCCTACCACGACCATCATCATAACCACCATCATCATCCCTACCACCACCACCATCATCCTTACCACCACCACCATCATCAACCTTACCACCACCATCCCTACCACCACCACCATCATCAACCCTACCACCACCACCACCATCATCATCCCTACCACCACCACCATCCTAGTGGTGGCCAGGAGGGCTCACACCACCATCATCAACCCTACCACCACCACCATCACCACCATCATCCCTACCACCACCACCATCCCTACCACCACCACCATCATCAACCCTACCACCACCACCACCATCATCATCCCTACCACCACCATCATCATCCCTACCATCATCCCTACCACCACCATCATCATCACCACCATCATCATCATCCCTACACCACCACCATCATCCCTACCACCACCATCATCATCCCTACCACCACCATCATCATCCCTACCACCACCACCATCATCCCTACTACCACCACCACCACCATCATCCCTACTACCACCACCACCATCATCATCCCTACTACCACCATCATCATACCTACCACCACCACCACCATCCCTACTACCACCACCACCACCATCATCATCATCACTGTGGTCACCAACAGGGGGGTCATCATTCTATGACAAGGATGCCCAGAGACTCACATACATTCCCAGCACCCGCACAGCCACTACGGTGTCCTAAAAAGAGAAGGATATGTGTCTGCATAGAGGACAGGGAGGCCACGCAGACACATGGAGGAGGACAGGGAGGCCACGCAGACACATGGGGGAGGACAGGGAGGCCACACAGACACATGGGGGAGGACAGGGAGGCTGTGCAGACACATGGGGGAGGACAGGGAGGCCACGCAGACACATGGGGGAGGACAGGGAGGCCACGCAGACACATGGGGGAGGACAGGGAGGCTGTGCAGACACTTCCTAACATCGGCTCACTAGGGGAACCAGTAGCCGTCACCTCATATCTGTGGGTCACTTCAGTGCCCCTCCCCCTTCCGCCGGGAGGCATCGCTCGTAGATTAGACTGGACTATGAACTCTCCACACAGCATCGGAGCCCGGTGATTGGCCCAGTGCTGTCACATGATGTGGGTCACATGCTTCTCCATACTGGGGGGTATACTATCGCCCCATCACCACGGTGGAAGGAGCGCGGAGTGTGGCTTTACCAAGCAGAACCGACCAACTCCACACTGACGTTCTATGGGATCTCAATGATCCGAAACCACATGACCACCATGGAAGCCGCTGTTCTATCGAAACCTCCGACTCGTCGAGTTCTGCAACCATCTGACTTCCGGTTTAGTGAGAAGAGGTTTGGGTGAGAAGTCTGTACTGCACGTGCTCCACCCGCGCCATTTCCCTGTACACATAGTACACAGCTACAGTATTACAATGAACTCGGGCCACACTCATCCAGCGCGTTATTCATCTGAGGTGCCCCACTCAATATGGCCGCCGCTTGCAGCCATATTGAGTGGGGCACTCAGATGAATAATCGGCACTCAATGCCGTATGAGAGCGGGTCACCTGGTCTACAGACAGCGCCCCCCTAGTGGTGGCCAGGAGGGCTCAGTTACAGCCCAGCAGAGCCAGGCCCGGGGCAGAGCGGGTCACCTGGTCTACAGACAGCGCCCCCCTAGTGGTGGCCAGGAGGGCTCAGTTACAGCCCAGCAGAGCCAGGCCCGGGGCAGAGCGGGTCACCTGGTCTACAGACAGCGCCCCCTAGTGGTGGCCAGGAGGGCTCAGGTACAGCCCAGGCCATACATAATGTGACAAATGACGACAGTACCTGAGAACCCGGAGTCCTTGTCAGATTCTGGAGCAGTCTGGGGATTTATGGGCCGGCGCCACGTCCGTGCTTGTTGCCTCTCCTGACCAGCCACCTGCTTCTTCTCCATGACTGCTCATTAACCTGAGGAGAGAAAGAAGAGTGAGAACACACCACAGGTCCACCATGGATCCCGATCAGCAGACCACCCAGAACCGGATCAGCACATCGGTCACTTCCTGAGACCCTCCCCCAACACCGTACAACTAACATGGCGGCTTTATACATGTTCTAGGTGCCGGATAAATGGTTAAAGGTCAACTCCGGGCTCAGCAGACATTGTCCCCATACAGAGCCCAATCTGCAGTGATCCCGTGTGAGGAGCTTCCTGTAATAAAGACCGGTCACTGCCGATCTCTCTCCTTGTGCGGGGTGACTGGTCTTGTCTCAGCCCCCTCCTGTAATAAAGACCGGTCACTGCCGATCTCTCTCCTTGTGCGGGGTGACTGGTCTTGTCTCAGCCCCCTCCTGTAATAAAGACCGGTCACTGCCGATCTCTCTCCTTGTGCGGGGTGACTGGTCTTGTCTCAGCCCCCTCCTGTAATAAAGACCGGTCACTGCCGATCTCTCTCCTTGTGCGGGGTGACTGGTCTTGTCTCAGCCCCCTCCTGTAATAAAGACCGGTCACTGCCGATCTCTCTCCTTGTGCGGGGTGACTGGTCTTGTCTCAGCCCCCTCCTGTAATAAAGACCGGTCACTGCCGATCTCTCTCCTTGTGCGGGGTGACTGGTCTTGTCTCAGCCCCCTCCTGTAATAAAGACCGGTCACTGCCGATCTCTCTCCTTGTGCGGGGTGACTGGTCTTGTCTCAGCCCCCTCCTGTAATAAAGACCGGTCACTGCCGATCTCTCTCCTTGTGCGGGGTGACTGGTCTTGTCTCAGCCCACTCCTGTAATAAAGACCGGTCACTGCTCCTCTCTCTCCTTGTACAGGGTGACTGGTCTTGTCTCCGCCCCCTCCTGTAATAAAGACCACTCACTGCTGCTCTCTGTCCTTGTACAGGTGACTGGTCTTGTCTCCGCCCCCTCCTGTAATAAAGACCACTCACTGCTGCTTTCTGTCCTTGTACAGGGTGACTGGTCTTGTCTCCGCCCCCTCCTGTAATAAAGACTGGTCACTGCTGCTCTCTGTCCTTGCACAGGGTGACTGGTCTTGTCTCCGCCCCCTCCTGTAATAAAGACCACTCACTGCTGCTCTCTGTCCTTCTGCAAGGTGACCGTTCCACCGATACCCACCATCAACCATAATAGGGCCCCCCACATATTCCTCTCATTATAAAAAAATTGGTAGT